TTCATATTATGAATCAAAATCAAATGCTCAAAAAGTATTGGCAAATTCAATTTATGGAGTAACTGGATATATATTTTTATTATTTTATAATAAACAGGTGGCATCATCTATAACTGCTTTAGCTCATTCATTTACATAATGAGTTATGAAAATTATAAAGTTATAAGAATGTAATGTAATTTATAATGATACTGATTCAGTATTTTATACATTGCCTACAAATATATTAAAACAAATTTATGATAAATATACACCAATAGACAATCCAGAGATTAAAAAACAATTTTGGAATGAGATAATAGAAGAAATGATTAGATTTTCTAAAGAACTTCAAGTTCATATAAATGAAGTTTTAAGAAAAGAAACTGGATATTCTTATATGGCTGTAGTTTACAAAAAAAACTTTAATGCCTGGAATATTTCTACAAAAGAAAATATATTTTAAAATCAAACATAAAGATAAAATAGAATTAGATAATCCAATACTTTTTTAAAAAGAAAGGATTATAAAAAAGAATGCAACAAATTTTTATCGAACTGTTACAACAGATATAATATGGTCAGTACTAGGATTTAAAGATCAAAAAGAAATTTCGATGAATGATGAAAAAAGTATTGAATAGATAATAAGTGAAGTAGTCAAAAAATATACAGATAAAACAGATTTGAAATTATTTAAACTAACAGACAAATACAATCCTGATTTTAAATGTCCATCTTTAACTGATTTTACAAATTGAAAATTTCAATCTATAAAAAAAGGTGGAAACACAAAAGTAATAAATTTTGTGACTCATATAAAAGATTATTATAGCATTAAAATTAAACCTGGATGATTTTATTATTATATATTAACATATTAAAATAATAAAGCACAAATATATGAAAAGATGTAGCCATGTTCAAACTAAAAGAAAAACATAAAATAGATTATTTATATTATTTTAAATTATTATGAGATATTTGTGTATCATTATTAAATAAAAAAAAAAAAGAAGCTAAACAATTTTTAGAAGTAATATATAATAAAAATCTAAAATGTTCAAAACAAATTACACTAGCTGATTGTTGAAGTACTGTAGAGATAAAATTAGTAGAATTAAAACTCTTAACTAGCAAAAAAAAATATAAACAAAATGAATCAGATATTCTTATACCAAAATAAAATCAAATTGATTACTATTTTCAAAGAAAAAATTAAATATAAAAACTGCATAAATCTAATTTAATTCATTTATAAATGTTTACTCAAAAATTTGTAATTGAATTTGAACCAAATGCTTCTTTATGTTGATAGAAGTTTCTAAAGCAGTAGCATTTATATTATTTATAATCAGTTTAACAATTACAATTCATTTATTTATTCATATTTTTTATTTGAAATTAAATATTATACATCTAATCAGTCAAAAACTGCTTAGATTTTTTTGTAAATAATTTTTTAATAGGACAGGAACTTTTAATTGAAATTGGTTCTAATTTACAATTTTGTTTAATCAAACTTTTTAATACATTAGTAGCTATAATTTTTTTATTTGTTGTATTTAATATATTTAATATTATTTCTAATCAGTCAAAGACTGATTAGAGTTTTAAATAAACAAATACTATTATAATCAATATATCAATAAAGAAGACTAATGATAAATATCATTTACAAGTAAATAATGAATCCAAAGAATGTAATAATTTTGAATTTGAGTGATATTCAACATTATTTTCTGATTGGATTGTTTCAAGTTTAACATATAAAAATAAGAATATTTATCATCAATATTTTGTAGTTCCAGAATCAGATTTTAATTATCATTTACAAACATACTTCTACTATTATATTAAATCAAATAGCTATATTTACAATTTACAAACTAAAGAATCTTTTAGTTTGAATATTGAAATTATAACTAATCAAATAATGCATCATAAATATGGATTATATATTTATCATAAAGTAAATAAAAAAAATATATTTTTATTTTTTGAAGAATTTGCAATACTTGTTTATGATTCAAATGCTGCAAATTATGATTTAAATAGTGTTTTAAATTAGTTAACTTAAATTCAATTACTCTAATTAGTATTATACCAATTAGATTTTTTATTATATAATTTTATAATGTCTAAAAGAAAATGCCCAGAAGATGAAGAAACTGAACAAAAATATAAAATTCAATAAACAAAAGAAGCTGATGAAAAAATCTGGTGGTATAGAGATAATAAAAATATAAATTATCGACATCCTTTATTATATCCTAATAATAATAATCATATAACTAAATATGTTCAAGTTAAAATATCAAAAGATAAAAAATTTCTAGTTGATTTAGAAAATAAATCTCTTATTAAACAATTTTATTTTATTTATAAAAACAAATTAATTATTGATAAAAAAACCAAAATATCTTTAATAAAAATCTTATATCCAGAAACAAATATTGATAAAATTAAATTTAAAAAATAATTGTAAACTTAATTTTTATGCTTCTAATATTGAAATTATTGATGAATGAAATTTATTTCTAAAAATAGCTTTTCAAAAATTATATAAATCCTCTTATTTCTCTTTTATTTTTTTTATTTTTTAATGGAACCTGAATTATTATTTTATTAATTATTTAAATTATTTATTTTATATTTTATTGTATATAAAATAACAACTGCATTAATTGTTATTACTACTGTAATTAAAATCAAACAATCTAATTAGTCTTATAACTGATTAGAATTTTATTTACATAATTGAATTTTTGAGTAATTTATAAAATGAAAGAGCTCTCAACTATATTTTGTTCAAGAATTCAGTTCTTTTACTTTATATTAACTCTCATTTCTACCATCTATGGAATAATAAATCTAAATTATCCTTGAATGTTATGTTTATTTGTATAAACTGACTTTAAGATGTTTAATTATTATTCTACTTTAGGTTATTATGCTGTTCGTGTTGGATGCACACCTGGACTATATACATCTTGAAAAGAATATAAAGAACAAATAAAACATTTTAATGGTGCTTTGTATAAAAAATTTGATACAAAGCAACAAGCAGAATATTTTATTACTATACCAATTCAAGAAATTTTAGAAAACTCATTAAATATATAGACTGATAGATCATGTGATAATAATTTCAGAATAGTAAATGGAAGAAAAATGATTAATAATAAAAATAGTTCTATAGCATGTGTTGGTGTTTTTTTTAAAGATAACAATTCATGAAATATATCTGAAAGATTACCTGAAATACAACAAACAAATAATAGAGCTGAATTATATGCAGTTATATGAGCTTTAGAAATTGTTAAAAAAATCAAAATATTGTAATTAATACTAATAGTACTTATGTTATAAATTCTATTAGAGCAACTGGAATTAAATTAATTAATTCAGATTTTATCGATAGAATGAATGATTTAATCAATTTAAGAATAGGTAAAACATATTTCAATCATGTTAAAGCTCATTCTGGTATTTATAGTAATAAACAGGCAGATAAACTAGAATTTTTAGGTTTTCAAAAATCTTTTGTTAAAAATTTTAATTTTAATTCAAATAATAAAGGAAAAATTGATTTTTATTTTACTAAAAAAAGCAAACAGATAATTCAGATACTGTACAAGATTTTTATTTAAATGAATTTTTTCATATTCTTAAAATATTAGAACAAGATAAAGATCAACAAAATTAATAATTGAAACTAAAAACAAAAATATTTATTTAATATTAAAAGAAGAAAGAATTAAATATTAGTTAAAAAATAATTGGTGTTGTAAAGGAACTAATGAAAAATTTAAAGCTCTAAAAGAAATATATATTAAAATTAAAGAATTAATAGATAGTAGAATTAAAGAAATTGATTTTGTATATTTACAAAAAAAAAGAAATAAAAATAAATAATAAAGATTTTTTTATTTTATTAAATAATATTTTTAAATTAAAACTTTGATGTTCTGTAATGAAAATGTCAAGCTTGTGACAATGGCATTTGTTGCAGATATTCAAAGTTTCACATAGCTTGCTATGAAAAACAAAAAATAAAAATCTTACACCTTGATGGCCAGTTTATACACAAATAAATATAACATTCAAGAATAATTTAGATTTATCATTCCATAGATAGTGGAAATTTTTATCATTATATGTTTACTACATCAATTCAAGACAAGGTTGAGGACCGAGCTGTATCATCGATACAGGAATCTTGTATCAATGTAATAACAAACAGAATGAATTATTAATATATTTTATTTTATTTAAATATTTGTGTAACTTTAAAAATTATAAAAAC